GATTGCTCTTTTACTTTTTGTAGCTGGCAGAGTCTTTACTATAATTTAGCTGAAATAATAGAAGTCTTAAAATTGCTACCAGTGTCTCTTTCCCCCTCTCTGTCTCTGTTAATATCAAACCAGATGTCAGTTTAAGGAGGCACAAGGAGCCGATGCACGCTAGTGTTTGAACAAGAAGAAAGCTCTCAGAAATGGCACATGTGAAGCGTACACGGTGTCTGACTCACTTACAGAGGCACGCTGCCTCTCCATGGGAATTTAATGAGTTTGATACATGAGATTTTTTTTTTTTTTTTCATCAACAGTCAACTCCACCTAGTGGTGTTTGTACTGAACAGATTTCTGGCTGCAGTGAGGAATGAACTGTAATGAGGGAAACATTACACCAGCAATTGTTTATCTGCTCTGAGTCACTTTCCCCTTACATTGCCGGAGAAGCGAGGATCAATACAAAGGTTTTGGATATGAATCCCACAAAAGCTACAAACACTGTAGATAATGTTGCCCCAGAGATCTGGCTCATTGCCTTTGCCGCACAGACTGTCCATTGCATGAGAGCAGTTGTAGACTGTGTTAGTAGGTCTCCTCAGCACCTCTCTGCCTGGCATCTGTGAGGCTTGCTCACACTTGCTTTCACCCAGCATGTGTTTGCTCAGATGAAGGAAATTATGTAATTAGCCTTTGAGGGATTGTTTTCTTTCACTCTTTACCCCCCTCTCTCCCACTCTTTGCCTTTACCCCTCTGTCTTTCTTTCCCTCCCTCAAATTTTTTGCACTCTTTACTCTCGTTCTAGTCTTGTGACAGCATGAGATGCTTACCATTTAATCCGAGCCACACCCTAGCTCACCTCCTTCATTAATTGCCAGGGACCATCAGTGGAAGAAAATGAGCGCTTGTCATACAGATCCATCTTAACTATCAAGGGCAGCTTTGTTTAACATCAAAGAGGGAGTTTTGAGAAGTGTATGAGGGAGTGGAAATGGAAGCTTTGGGTGTGCAGGGGGTGGTGTCAGGCTGGGTTTGGGTTGGGTTGGGCTGTGTGCTGGGAGATGGGTGCAGGGGTACACACGGGCAGTATCGGGGGGTGGGGAAACCTGGCATTTTGCTCTCTAATTCCAGCCGGCCTGGAGGCCTGGAGCGCTAAGAAGGGCCTCACTGTTGCTCTCTGGATCAGCCAGGTATTGCTTACATAAAAAGCAAGTGAAAACAGCTGTAGGGATAATTAGCTTGATTCTCCATTACATGCCATGAGGGCCAATAACTAAAAAATGGAGTTTTGTTTGGGTTAGAGCTGCAGCCCCAACCAGGAGGAAGTTGTAAAAGTCAGGCAGAAAAAAAGAAAGAGAAGAAATGCAGGGAAGAAAGAGCGAGCTCTTGAAGCAATTGTTGCAGAGAAGATGTTCTCTCTTCCTGGGATGGCTTGATGTAGACCATATTTTTTAAGGGTTTTAAAGGGCTATAGTTTCGAAAAGATTGGATGAGTATGTGCGCACATTTAAAACATTTATTTTACCCATCTAATACGTAATCTGAGTTTTTAGCTCATGGGAACCTGTAACATCGGATCAATGAATTGGAACCAAATTTTGACTGCTTTTTTAAAATCCCATTTGCTGTAATAGATTACCTTAGACACTACCTTGCAATGGAGCAATAGAGGTGCTGCATGATGTCTTTTATTTCACCATCAATGAGCATGTTGAATGTGGGTTATATTCACTTACTGCAGTCAATAAATCTGACATATGATAAGAGCAGTGATTTGTTTTCATTGTAAGACGTTTAGTCAAAATTGCTTCTCTTCTGACCTCCTTTTCCGAGGTTAAATAGACTATCCTATCAGAAACACGATATCTTCTGTGGTCACATACTAGGCCTGCGTTCACAAACTATCTCAACAAAAAGAAATATGTATTTGCATTTGTTTCTATTCAGACAGAACAGTGAGAAAACCCAACTCAGCTGCTAGTTGTCACTTCTCTCTCCCTTTATTTTACCCCAGTATCTGCTCCTTCATACCACCGAATGGCTTGTTTTACATCTCTCCTTCTGGTAGAGTGAGGTGAGGCGGGGCGATGGGGGGCGGAGGGTACCAATCTTTATACTGGTAATTGAATTTGGTGTGTTTCTCTTTTTTCTGTAGGAGTGAAAGGACACCAACCACAGGGTAATTCCAAGTGAAAGAGCAGCACTTTAACATTGGTGGTCCCAAAACTCTGCAAGGATCCATTTAACAGGCAGTTTATATTAGTAGCACTTAAAGACAAGAAGGGGGTTCAGCCGCTCACATCCAGACTCTCAGGCCTGATACCCAATCCTCAGGAAGAAGACAGAAAGTTGGACAGAAAGACAGACCAGTAGGTTTTGGGAGAAATACAGGTGGACTAACAAAATAGACACCTTACAGCCTCATTTAGATTACCTATCCACTTACAAGGACTTTTACCTGGTATGTTGTGTATGTAGATACACAATACTGGTCACAAAATTAATAGTACAATGCAGTATAAATGTTTTTTCACCTCAACCAGACCTCTGTCTCTGCAGAGGGAATTTGCAAATTTTGATAAGTCATTCATTTTCCTGTCTCCAGATGCAGGCTAAAGGAGTATTAATATGAGAAAGTGTTCACCCTGTCTGATCCCACCATCAAGCACACTGAGAGTAGAGGAGTGGGGAGGAGGATGAGGGTTACGCAGGGAGTAGAAGATAGGAATGGCTGATTTGACTTAGAGACAGATGATGGCTGAGTGTTGCAAGAGGGAGAAGGAAATTATATTTTTTCATTAGTATGCATTGATATGACAGCAATTTTCGATTTTAAAATAACAGTCTGTACAGTCGTGATCTGAAACAAATCCCAAAAGAAACAGAAATATATACATTCACATGTGTGATTAAAGCCATTAGAAAATGTGCTTTTTGTCTCCCCTCCCTAAACTTACTTTAGGTGAAGTGGCTCAATATAAAATGGGAGGGCTGTGTCTGATCTGTTGGAGTGAGTGTCAAGTGTTAATGTTAGTGTTATCAGTAGTTGTCCCAGTGAAGGTTCAGGTCACGGTTTGGATATTACACTGCAATTTATCAGATTCCTACCCATGCGGCAGAACTGCTGCACATCGCCACTGTCCGTTGGATAAATGGATTCTCTATGTGTGCTTACAACTTTGTGGCAAATGTCCTCTCTTGTGCATTGCCGCCTATAGAATTGTCTGCAGGTATTTTATATCAAATATCGTTCCAACACTAGAAAAATATCAAAGAAGAGTAAAATAAATCAATCAGAAAAAGAAAAAAAAGACACAAACAGGACAGCTGGTTTTATTTCAGTTGTTTTCAATCATAATGTACTTTGAATCAGGTCCAGAAAAGTGCTGCCTAGTGTACAACTTGTGCAAAATGTGTAATGTTGTATACATGAAGCGCACATCTTTTTTTGCTGCCTTTAGCAGCTGATAATGCAGAAAATTGTGGCCAGTGACCTTTGGGCTGAAAAGGCTTTAAGCAGCCCGTCGGAGCCATTTGAGCTCATTAAATTATCTAGAGCCTGGTTGTAGCTTTCCTGGCTGATATAATATGCTTTGCTTTGTCACATGTTTCTAAAGCGGACATAATCATGACCACAAATGCAGTACTTACACTCAGGAACATAAAATTCCATATGATTTTAACACTCTGTCACAACATGCTGACATGTAAAATAATCATAGGCCGATAAGCGTACACACATTCATGACCACATAGCGACACACACTTCCTCATTAACAACATGAACACAGGCGTCACACGTGAGTTTGTGTAGTGAATGCGTCTGTTGTGTGGAGGTAGTGAGGTGTTGACAGAGAAGAAAGAGGAGCGGTCTTCAAACACATCCAAAGGCAGGTCGTGCTCTCCATTATGCCCTGCCGGGGGCCATATTTGTTGATTCTCTGGCCCCCAAATCATTAATTTAAGTGCAGACGACGGCAAAGAAACCTGAGAATGGCGTCCAACGCAACACAAATTCACACACACACACACACACACACACACACACACACACACACATGCATCTAAGCGCGCAGACACACATTTGGTCACACTTGCACGCAAGCAAGCTTGTGTGTACACATCGACACACACACACACACACACACCCCGTGTTGCATAACAAATGATGGCACTTTAATTGCTGTGCGTGTTTATTTACTCCTGGCTGTAATGGATGGTCCTTCCCTGCCTGGCAGCCAATCAGAGTAAGACAGGAAGAGTGTGAGCAGCCCTGCAGAACTTGACATGCAATTTGACATTCTACTTTATGCACAACACAAGATGCTGTGGTTAAATACGGGTTATCCCCTCAAACTCAAGATTTTGGGGTCAAATCATCTCTATCACAACATACTTTACCTGGCAACATCTCAGGTCCCCAACATGCAAAGATTGTATCAAAGTTCTTTCACTACGCCCTCTCTGAGTGATGATAACGTCGTCAGTGATTGGTAGTTATTTTAGGGTCTGTTTGCTCAGCCAATGAGGCGCCCCCAGCGAGCTAGACATACATCATTGTTTTCTCTTTTTTTCACAACCTAACCCTCAGGAAAGAAGTGAGTTGTTGCTGACTGCTGTGCGGCCTGAATAACAGACACATTCCAATCGTTTTTTTTTTCTTTTTTATTAATGAGCACTTGATGTTTGGGTTACTGCCAACTGCATTTAGAGCATTCTTAAGGAGCTCTGGAGGGTTGCCAGACAGTTACAGGAAGAAAATGGTCTACCTAAAGCTAAGAAAAAAACGAAATATCTGCACCGGACCTGAGTGTCTGAGTTCTGTTGGTCCGAGCAATGTAACTGTGTGATGTAACCTTTTAGGAGACGACTGAGGAAATTAAAAACAACTTAAGATCCTTGGCTAAATGATGCATCTTCATATCCCTGTGTGGGTTTTAGCATTTGTTTTTCATTATTTGCGGTTGACCTCTCATACTGATTTTTTTTTTCTCTATGTTTCTTTCCACAGCTGCTCACAGAGCCAGGTACCAAGAGGTTCAAGAGCTTCAAGTGCAAGCATACACACGCAACCGACCCATACCTCCCTACCATCGTGACCATCAGACATACATATGAATATACACATATACTCCAGGAACCACCATTTGTATGTATTGCGGACAAGCTCAGAATTCAGCCCGGTCAGAAGTTCTCCATATTACCGATAAATGTCACCTTCACTGACAAATGCAGTGGCATCAGTCATCAGTGTGGGGCTTCAGCGTATTGGCATGGAGTCCACTGCCTTCATTTTCCCTTGCTGTTTTCAATAGACTGGGAGCTGGATTCATCTTACAGTACTGCGGTGCTACAGAGTCCTGGCTTCACATCAACCGACAATCATTCCACCGCTGTCGACTACTAGTGTGGCTAAGCAGAGCCGGTGGAACTAGCCGTAAACCCATGCCAATCCCGGACTGGTTTATGATGGCATGAATGTGTTTACTTCTGCAGCTAAATAGTGAACTTTTTGTAAATATCACAACATGGACCTCAAAATCCACAATCCACAGAGACCTTCTCAATGTACCGTGCCAAAGGAGACAACCCTGTCTGCGGAAACAAATTACTGACATGGGACTGCATCTGAATCATCTGGACTACCCAGTAAGCCGCCCTCATTTGTTTGACTATCTCCCACTTCCTGTGGAGAGATCAACAAGAAAAGGCAAATTCGGGCTTAAAATGCCCCACAAACAGTTTGAGGATCAGCTTACACCTTCTCTAAAAATCAGAACCTCTATTAACAGGGAAGGAAACACCGCTGACCTCAAATCAGCCAGCTTACTGTAAGAACAGTCTGTTTATATATTTCTCCTTGTGTTCTTTTAGCCTGCTGTGCGTTTGTTTAATTAACCAATATCATGTTCTGTTTGCTTTTCTACATCCGAAACAGTTTTGAGTGCCACTCTTTTTTCAAAGTTTGAACAGCTGTGTGTGACTTATTAGGCTGATGAGTGATGTATTATTTTGTTGTCTATTTATTGATCCTGTGAATCTGAGTGGCTAATCTGTTTATAATGAAGTGACTTGCATTTTAAAGCACTGTGTCATTATTGTTTTCACTGTACTGGAGGTTGTCCTGAGGTGACGATGAGGTACAGTATTGTGTTTTGAATCAACGGTATCACAGTATTTCCACTTGGTCCTTACCTAATATGTACAGGTTTTTTTTGTACAATGTGTGTGCATGTGTGTGTGGTTTTATGACTGTAAGGACTGTGAAAGTTTGGGGGTAACCGTATTCACCCATGACTTGTTCCACAGTGTTTTGCAGTGGTCAGCTTGTTTCTGTTGTTTGAATAAAAGTTGTTTTCACAAGAACTGCAATATGTGTTTTATCAAAAAGACAATAATGTGAACATTGACATCGGCAGTGTTATTGGTAAATGTGAGTGCAACAATGGGTATTTTCACAAGATTAAAGTTTCACCGCCACTAATAGCAACTACAACAATAGACTCTTGCACTGCCCTAGAAAGAATTCTCCCTAGTTTTCATGGTCTACCAATTCTCTCTTTCTCTCTCTCTCTCTCTCTCTCTCTCTCTCTCTCTCTCTCATAAACTCAGCCAGATGTTGCCCAGTTTTCTTCCTAGGGGAACGTGGGGGGGTGTTGGGGTGGTGGTGGTGGTGGTGGTGGTGGAGGGGCAGTTTGATGGAGGAGGGAGGGGTAAGTGAGGCATGGTGAGGGATCAGAAATGTGGCTGAGCATGTTTTAAGTGCTCTTTGACGCAGTTGCAGCCTCCAGCATCCACTGCGGTAACATTAGCTGTACAGAACTCTTGCGAGATTTGCTAGGGCACTTCACACTCAATTCCGCCACAGGTATTCGCAGCCTCTCGAAGAGTTTCATTCCTGAAGGAAATGTGCGAGTTGTGGAAAAATGTGACAAAACGACGGCTCTCCCAAAAGCATTATGAGTTATTGTAAAGAATTTTGGGGGGCTTTTATTACTTTTAATTTTGTGTTCCACAGACACGCTAAAGGGACTTAAAATTGAGTTTGTTTTTATAGACACATATTGAAATGAGAAAATTGTGCAGTGTCCATATGCAGTGCATGTGAAGGTAAATACAGCTTACACCAGACCTGTAAAAAGTCAGCACAGTGTTGGTAATACTGACACACAGATTCTCCCTATATTTAAATAAGGGCTGAGAGACTCAACTCATACTGATTTTAAATGAAGTCTGTAGCAAACCTATAAGATTGACTGCACTTGACTAAAGCCTACAACAAGACCAGTATAATAAAAATGTCTGAATGAATCTCTTTTCCCCCTTCCCTTTCTCCTCCCTCTATCACCTGAGGCAAGTCTTTATTTGGGCACAAAGACAGATATTCAGGTGACTGCCCCATTCCATTAATTTTAGCATTGTTTTACTTCTTTTGCCGACTGTTATTCTATCTCTATTTCCTCAATCCAGATGAAATTCTGTCTAGCGCAATTGAGAATAACACGGCTTTCACCCTTGAATGCCTTCAGTGTGTGTACACACAGAGAAATCTACAGTGACACACGTGAAACTATTAAACACTTCGCCTTCTGACACTCATCATCGGGTTCATTGAAAAATATCGAACTATAAGCCGGCGGATTCCTGCAGCATGTTTTGAGATAATGTACCATAAAATAATAATTACCGTAATGACCGTAATGCTCGCAGGCCTTCAGGTGATGAGAGCAGCCTGTATAAGCACACGATATGGACCTGCTTGTCTTGATTTTACTGAGTAGTAACTCGATCTGCTGCCAGTGAAAATCCTAACTCTGCTCTGGTATGGATAGGGTAATAGCCTTGGGTGCTTTATAAGTTTATTTTAGGTAATAGAGACGCTTGTTTTGTTACAGCCTGTTCCGCCCTCTCTCTCTCTCTCTCTCTCTCTCTCTCTCTCTCTCTCTCTCTCTCTCCACAATTTTTACCTACACTCAAATTCCTCGGTTCTTCAAAGTTGGTGACTGGAAGAGAGGGAGAAACAGAAGGAAAAAAAAGAAAAAGGGGATTTGAGGAGAAATGCGAAGCGCATGCGCCATCCGAAAGGTCTTTGCGCTGCGCATCCGTGCCGCAGCGTGCTAGTTTGCGAGAGGAGGCGACTGAAGCAGGTGAGAGAGGGAGAAAAGGAGAGAGGGAGGGATAGCCGGCGAGACTTTTTACTGCACTTCAGCACACAGAGACGCACACATACGGTGTGGGAGGACGACAGACTCGGAGCCTCTCAGCAAAAGCCGCTGTTGTTCACACGCTGAGCTCTTTTCCTCCCCCTGGCACCGCGCGCGTTCGCCAAGCCGCACTGTTTGGAGATAGTCCGCGCGGAAAGTTTTTTGGAGCATACTGTCTGGAGCCGATTAATTGTGGCATCTGTTTTTTTTTCTTTCTTCTTCTTCTTCTTTTAGCAAGGCGGATGACTTACTCCTTTTTTTTTTTTTTTTTTTCTGCATGTGAAGACTTTTAAGTCCGGCGGAGGAACTGTCAAAGTGTTTTTTGCTCAGAATGGAAGGTAAATTGACAAGTCGTTTGTGGCGAGGAACACCGTGTGGATCTTTCCGCAGGTAAAAACGCGCTATGACCTGAGCGTGTTAGCGGCTGGATTTAATGTTCATTGCAAGACTTTCCGTGTTTTTTTTTTGGTTTGACATAGTCTAGCTATAATCTGGAACAGTTTTTTTTTTTTTTTTTTTTACTTGGATAGGGGAACAAAAAAGTAGGCCGCTTTCAATTAGAAGAGAATCGACAAAGTACATTCGACATTTCCGTCAGGGGGCATTTTGGGTTGCCGTAGATGGTTTCATTTCTTCATATTTACCGCAAAGTCACGCACTGATTCATTAAAAGGAACTGATCATTTCCTTTACACTGTCTTTGGACATTATATGTATACCCCGCTGCTTCCTACCAGCCCTATAAACTGTTTGGCGCACGGAGCGCATTCACCGATTGTTGGTCGTCCGTGTTCACCAAAACACCAAACCTGAATAACTCTCTCAGCTGTAGCTTTTACGCGTTCTTCACCCCAACCAAGCACTTTCCAAGAGATCCGGATAAAACGACCAGACTTGTCTTCACTGCAGCGGAAAAGGAAATCTTAAATCCACCTGGCCTGCACTGGGATTATTGGTTTGGTATCGTCTGCAGAAAGTGGATTACAACTTCTAACGGGCTGTGCTCCTTGGTGAGTAGCCTATAGGTCTCCTGGTTCACTCACTTTTCCATGCAGCTGCAGTTTATCTTAGAGAGTGGAAAATATGTTGTTTTTAGTGGGACCATTTTGGACTAATACTGGTTCTTGGATGTGGACAGAAGTTCTTGACAGATGTGATGTGTGAAACATGCAAGCCCCCCCTCTCTCCTCTCCTCTCCTCTCCTCTCCTCCCCTCCCCGCATTGACTGTGACCCATATGTCAGTGTCCTGCTGGGCAAATAATGAATTCAGTGAAAATTAAGAAAAAGTTCTATGTTTTAGATAAATAAATTAGGTAAAAAATAGTCTGCTTTCTCTTCCCATTGTTAACGGTCCCAATTTGAAGTCAGGCAGTGTTCTTTGTGCTGCTTCTCCTCATCAAATCCTTGTACCTGGCTCCCTCTCCTGGTTTTTTTTAAACAACAGGACAGGCAGGAAAAGAGACTCATTTTTCGCTATTAACTGTGGATAATGTTTCACTTAAGTCAGTTTATGGGCGCCAGTTTGAGAGGTGACACTGTTGTATTTAATTGCTCTATAATTTATATATTTTTTGCCCTTCTTAAATTTGAAAAACTTTAATGTCAACATGCATATTATCCAAAAGCATGGTGATGAAGGCCATACTGTAAATACAGTCACTTAGAAATAGTCATTCATTAATGCTTGTCATTATTTGACACTCATAGCACTATATTGCTTTTCCCTTCACTTTTTTTTTTTACAATCATTTGTTGCTATGGTTATTAAAAACATTCTTTTTATTTAATTTCAATAGCATTTTATATGGTTTAGGCAAAGGCTCCTGTCAGAGAAAACCCAAAACTGAGACCAGACAAAGGCCTTAATTTAACCCAAAGGTGAAATAATTCATTCATACATTTTTCTCATTTTAAAAAACTAACTACTTATTTTTCTTTAACTCTTCGGGTTTAATGTGAATCGGTTTAGTCCCACATGGCCTGTTAAAACAGCCTCTTAAATGATCCATTGCAACAGCAGCGCCCGATGTTTTATCATCCTGTCGACCCTATTCTAATTGTTCTCTTCCTGAAATTTGCCCAATTTGATGCCACTTTCACCGACAGAAATCAGCAAGGTAGTCGTCAGTCATCCAGTCAAGTCCTATGTATTTTTCACTCGGGTCAAATCGTTTCCAGGGGTCACTGAGCGCACGGTTTACGCAGCCTGCAGTGGGGATGCCAAACACAAGAACAGGAAAATAAATTAGAATACTGTCATGTACAGCGTGTTATAGCTGCAGCCAATGAATTTGAGTAAACCCGTATTAACACATATTCATATAAAAATAAAAAAAAAGCCTCGAGTCTCTGTCTCTTAAAACAATTACTGTTCTCTGCTCTGATTGGCTGAGACTCAGTTGTGGAATGTCAGATAATTGCATGCACCTGTGGCCTCGTGACAGTTAATTTAAATAAGAATACGCAGAATGAAACCTGTATCACTTGTCCCCCCCCCGCGCTGTTGGGTTTCTCCCCCTCAAGTGTACTGCTTAGCGCAAAAAAAAAGTTCGTTAATTGTAGATCTTAATTATCCATAAATTAAAATGTCTATTTGAAATCCTTTCCTGGATGGCGCAACAGCTCCAATTAGCTGGTTTAAAATCAGTGTAAAACCGCCGCCCTCTGTGGATTATTGCTTTAATTTATGTGGAAGAACTACAAGGAACATAACATAACCTCACCAACTATTACTGAAGCAGTGCACAAACTGAAAGCACATGCCCGTGTGTATGTGTGTGTGTGTGCGCGCTCGCTGGGTGAGTGATGGTGAACTTGGCCTTCTCTTTAATGAGTATTAGGCAGGCCCGGGTCTCCACGACTCAACCCTGGAAAATAACGCAGCGTGACAAATTAGAGCTGCTCTGAGTCCCAAAATTCACACAGGGCCCAACTGTAAGGCTGGCACATCGGTTTAACTCGCAAATTTAGGGGTAATTATTTTAACTCATTTTCTGCCTACATAGCAGCCAACATGTATCACCAAAGCCACACAGTTGTTTGCAGATAATTGACTTTTTTCCCCCTCTTTTTGTTTTTTTAATTCTTTGTAGTTTTCGTTATGCAAAAGGCTGCCCAGTACAACCAGGCCATGGACGACCATCCGCTGACGTGGCTCATTTCTGTCCGGTCCACAGTCAATTAATAAATATGGAAATTAAATAGAATATAATTATGGACCGACGTTACCGTTTTTTAATAAATTGAACATTTAATTGCAATATACCATTAAAAAAAATCTAATAACTTATTTTTTCATTTTCCATGTTTTGTATAATAACTTATTTTTTCATTTTCCATGTTTTGTATAAATTCCCCCTTTTTAAGTCCTATTAAAATGTTTTAAATGAACAACCATGAAAACGAATTTATATAATAATTTTATTAGGCCTGTTATCTTCCAAGGGTATTAGTTATTTGCATAATTAAAGAAAATTAAATCTGTCACCAGCAACAAATACAATCAGGACTGCCATAGATTAAAAATTAAATTAGTATGGGAAAAAAAACAAAATGTATTCAATTGCCAGCTCCAGATTTTTTATTTCTTTTTGTTTAAGTTAGCCATCTTTGCTTTAAAAATGTAATCTTAATTGTTGGTTAAAATTGGGACAATTTAGTTTTGACCCTTATGTCAATAGTAAATATGTGGGCTAAAATAAAATAACACATACATACTCTGACTAGGCCTCTCTCTCTCTGTCTGCCTGTCTCTGCCTTTGTATGTCTCTTTCTCTGAGTAAAGTGAACTGTCAGGAATGTGTCTAGATGGGGTTTCATGGTCATTGTGTCTTCTCCGGCTGCACGTCTATCAGTCTTACGTGATTCACACTCAGACCTGCTGCCAAATGACTGCTCTGCTGTGCGAGCACTGATGGCCTCAGGGCTCTCATCTCACACACACACACACACACAACCACAGTCCTGTTTTCCTATAAAAAGAGAGTTTTTTTCCTGCATTTCCTTTAACACATTTTGAAATCACAGATCTGTCATTTTCTGTATTAAGCACAATAACCTGAGACAGCCAGGCAGACCAACATGCATCCTTTTTTCTCTGTCCTCCCTCAGATCAGCGGCAGTATGAACCTGGGGCTGGGCTGTGTCAGTCGGCCGGTTTGCTGGCCCTTTGGCAGCGTGTTGGACTCCAGACACTGTGTCTTTGCCCTCACACTCCTCACACTCCTCATGCAGGTGGTGGTGGAGGCCAACTCATGGTGGTATGCTATTATTATTATTATTATTATTATTATTATTATTATTATTATTATTATTATATTATTTTCTCTCCATACAGTATTTCTGTGTGTGTCTTAACTTGTGTTTTTGTGCATGTTTGCTTGTTATATGGCCATTAGAGATTGTCAGCTCTCAATGGGCATTTTCTTCTCTTTACACTCATAGATGAGTCACATTAGTAAATTGGGCAGGTAGCAGTGCCTAAAAAGAGTATAAAAGACATTAAAAAAGCCAAAGATTTAGGGTTATATAGATTTTTAAAATAACATTTTGTTAGTGTTTATATTTATCTTTTACTTAGTTTCAGACTCAATTTCAGGCTTGTGTGAGAGAGCGAGTGTGCGTGTTTGCTAAGTAAGCCTCCTCAGCTTCAGTTGCACCACATATGAAGTAACACAACATGCTGACTGTAGCACATTAGCTTTTCAGGAAGACCTTTTTTCTCCTTTATTTTCTTTCTTCACATATTGCCAAACCAAAATTATGAATATTATAGAAAACATAGAATTCTGTGGTTTATGAGTCGTCGTCCAAATATGTGCAAACACGAACACCGTGTGTAACTGCGCGTGCATGAGTGCGTTTGTGTGTAGACACTCGTCCTGCTGCTATTAGAAAAGTCTATATTTGAGCATGCAGCACTTAAACACACAGTACTTCTGATAGGGGAAAGTACTCTTTACCAGTCCCCATAGAAGCACTACTCAAAGCAAATCACCACTCTCTGCATCCTGTGGCTGTTTGTGTTTTTGTCTAATTGTGCACTTGCGTATCCCAATTTGAGTGCTTGTAGAAGAAGTATTTACAGGAAACTGACACTTTCAGTGTAAGACTGTATCATATTTTTATATGAGAATAATAATTTAAACAAATAAGTTGAAGAGGATTTATACAGAAACATATTGTAATGGGCTCAGCTCAGTAGGCGACTACATTAAAGTTCAAATAATGAGCTGGATTACGGACACAGCTGAAGACTCGCACATTACCGCAGACCCTTTGGAAAGCTGAGTTTGGAGCACAGACTGTGTGTGTCTTTCAGTTTCCTCTTTTAGAGGACACACAGGTGTGAATGATTTAGACTGTCGGTGGGTCGGCTGACTGTGTGTGTGGGTGTCAGTGTGCATGTGTGTTTGAGCACACGAACAGTGTGAATGTTGATTTTTTTTTTTTTTTCGTCTATGTGCTTATGTGTGTACTTTGTGTATATGTTGTGTGTATTCAGTCTGTGTTCCCTCGCTGCTGAGTTTCCCTAGTCGATCAGGTTACACTGGGGGCTAATTGTCTTTCTCTTAGGGCTCAGGGATGGGCTTCTCTAATTGTCCTGTGGCCTGGAACCAGATGCTCATACTAGTAGTGTTCCTCTCTCTCTTTTTCTACTGTGTTTGTCCCTGTCTCTCTCTCTCTTTCACTCCATTTTTATTCCTCTTTCTATGGAATCGATCTGTTACTTAAGTTGAAAAGATCAGATTTTTTCCTGTGTGGTACCGTAGGTATATAACTTTCATTGTGCAGAATTATCCACTCAGTGTGTTGAGTCGGCATGACAGAAGTGGTCATCATGTAATGCACTTCAGCAAAAATGTCAAAAACCTTTCTTGTCAATTGGCATAGTATGACTCGGGACCACTCTAAGGGGTCACAAAATAAATGGGAAGGGTTTGCTAGCTTTTTCTGCCGCACCAACTGATGTTTAGTTTTTTAGACTTAGAATACATAAAATACTAAGACCTCTAAAAACTTTAAAAATGAAACAATGGCAGAGGCATCGCTTTTTGTCTAATCTGATAGACGTAATATGCAGCGTCTCAAGAGGGGGGTCATATGTAAAAAAAGGTTAAGACACTGAATACTTATTTTACTGTATTGTCTAATTTTCTTGATTGTTCCTTCTTGTCTTCACTTGTCCCACTTTTGCAGTAGGGCCTTGGCCCAAAATAGCACATGACTGTAAGGCCAGTGTCACAGAGAGCTGAGCGTATGCAGGGTTTTACTCTATTCAGTAAATAACTGCACCTAATTTCTCTGATCAGCATAGCTTCATCAATGAGCGGGAGAAACTAATCAAGAGAAATCCATGCTTGATTGTGAATTTGGCCTGAAAACTTGCATAATGAGTGAAAACAACTGCAATATGTGTCCCCCTCATCCAGGTCTCTGGCCATGAACCCTTTACTGATCCCTGAGGCCTACATCATCGGTGCCCAGCCTCTGTGCAGCCAGCTGGTGGGCCTGTCGCAGGGCCAGAAGAAGCTGTGCCAGCTCTACCAGGACCACATGCAGTACATCGGTGAAGGTGCCAAGACAGGCATCAGAGAGTGCCAGTACCAGTTCAGACATCGGCGCTGGAACTGCAGCACGGTGGACAACTCCTCTGTTTTCGGACGGGTCATGCAAATAGGTAAGAAATGGACAGAATAGTGTATAAAATTATGTATAAAATAGAAAATATTCTTAGACACATGTACATGAACACACAGGAGTAGTTACCCACACAATGTGTGTCCATAAATGCAACAATACGCACATGTATGCAACACATATTCACCAGTGGTATTAAGAATCTGTACATTCTGTATCTTTCCTTTCTTCATTCTCCCTCTCTCTGATTCACTAACCCTCTTTGGTGTGTTTGTGAAAGTGTGTGTGTGTGTGTGTGTGTGTGTGTGTGTGTGTGTGTGTGTGTGTGTGAGAAATGTATTGGGCTGCTGATTCTCAGCAGCTGTGTGGAGAGAATAGTTGGTGGGTGAGGTTGCTGGATAAATCACATGTGGCTTTGGCCCGCTAAACCAGCTCCCGACATGGAGCAGGAGGGAGGCAGAGAATCTGCTTTTCCCCTGATGAATGGGAGACAGTCTAATCTCATTTAACACACACACAGATGCACACGATGTGGAGCTGGACTGTAGCTGCCCTGTATTAACAAATAATGGGAGTACATGCACCGATATATCACCCATCAGAGATTACACTGTCTGTTGGTGTGCGCATACATACAGTGTGCTCAGATCTTTTATAGAAAGTTCAAGATCTTTACAATCCTCTCTTAAAAGTGAATCCCCCACTTGCATCCTATCAGTTAACATTTTTTGTTTTAGTTTTGTTTGGATTTGAGCCTTCACCTCAGGAGCTAATGTAAAGGTGGTTCACCGTTTATTGATCATAACTCTCCAGCTGAATTATAATGAATCTATACAATGTCAATGTTGTGATTATAAGAGCATTACAGCAGGCTTGGCTCCACAATAGCAAAATCTGAATGGATAAAATTTTGGGAATCTTTCAAAGTCTTCTTAAGTAAGACATACAGAGGGGTGTGCATTCTGTTCATCTGGGTACTCTCTAAAGGGTCAGTTAACAAATTTTTTTTTTCTCACCTACTCAGATTGCTGAATTTATGCATGTCTGCTCCTTCCCCAATACAATTAATGGAATAAATGGTGAATGGAATTTTGTTTGTGGTGCTCACAGCTTTAAAAATAACAGTTAATGCACTCAACAGCAACGTGTCTTTCCAAAAATAATGTTCCCATTACACTGGATAATCCACAGAACACACTTTTAACAGTTTATTTTGGTGACCTTTTGTCTTTTTTTCAGTAGAAAGTTGCTCCACTGAAAACCGATCACACTGGGTTTCATAGAGAATCATGAGTAACATTGTTTTTGGAAAGAGAGGTTTTCTGTGAATATTTTAAATGTAATGTGTGCAACAAAAACAAAATTTCATTCACTTGTATTGGGGCGGTGGTGGTGAACATTTTAAAACCTCAGCACATAAAAACGCAACAGTCAGCATGGAGGAGACTTGTAAATGAAAAAATCATCTTTTTAATAGTTTTTTTAAAATTTGGTGAACCAACCCTTTACAGCACGTACATGTGAGCTTACCCTACATGACATTGTGTGCACACATATGCGTGTCTGTGTTTTGACACCATTCTTGGTGATTCTGGCCTGTCTGTGTCTCTGGTGCTGCTGACTCCCTTTCCACAGATCCGTCTTCGCAGAAACCTCATCAGCAGCCACTCTCCCATTCCTCTTCTCCCTCAGTCTCCCTCCCCAACATTGCTCCCATCTCAGTCCGCTCTGGGCCAAGTAAACATGTCCTCCCCTCTATAGCTGTCTATCTGAAAGCCTTGTTTTACTGTCTGTCTGTCTGTCTGTCTGTCTGCTGGCTTAGGATACTGCTGGTGATTTAAAGCTTAGCTCCAGGGGGTGCTGGCATGGTTGGGGTTCAGACCCTCTCCCCTGCCTGGTTTGGCTTTCTCCAGGTTGGGGTACAGGAGAAGGTAGACAGGCAGCAGTGTGGGAGACTTCAGTTTGTCCATCCACATGTCCTTTATTAGGCCAATATCTTTAGGCTGGATTAAAAGTTGTACTAGACTAATAAATCTTCCACTCTCTCTGATCACCTCTGGTCCTGCCAGAGTTCCCCACCTGAACATCTTTCAGACTTTCCAAATGGATTCTTGATTATTTTCTCTTCTCCGTCATTGTCTTTTACTACCTTTAGCGATATTAAGTGCATGTGTGTGTCTCCTTTTCCATTTTGCTTTCTTTTTTTCTGTCAAAGTCTTGACTTATCTCTTCAGTCGTCTTTTCTTTCTCCTCCCTCATCTCCCATTCTCTGTTCATCTGTTATTGTCATTATAGTATGCTCTCTAAAGGTTTGGCCCACCAGGTATATGAGCTGTGCATTTTTATTTTGTAGCAGCCCTCGTCTTCAGTGTCAACACACAGCCTCATAGTTTGGTCGGCTGTTTCTTCTATAGTCGCTTATCTCCTCATCTCGGTTTTCTCCTCTAGTCTGTGGCTTTGTACAGTGGTAGTAATGGATCGAGCATTTGGTGATGGCAAAAAACTGCTTATGTGCATTTTTTAAGACTCCCTCTCACTCTTGTCTCTATAGAGGAAATGTTGAGGGTAGAAACAGCAGGAGTTAATGAGCAATGGCTCCAGAATCACTCAGTCATGACAGATAAAGTAAAAGAGCTGTTGTCACTTCCAATTTGGGTGAGATGGAGACTGCTTGTTAAGGAGGATCTCTGTCACTTGAGGGCGCTCTCTTCTCTCTGGCTGAAGCCCAATAACAGCAACTCAGATTCCACCATTCAACATGATGGTGATGAGGAGCCTGCAGCACTTGGCTGAAGTTCTCTGTAATCTTAAATGTATGGTGAATGCTGTCATATGATATCACATCTCATAACACTGTAAAAATTCTTAAAGCAAAATGACAGTGACACACATTCAGTATAAAATAAATATACACATATCCTACAAAAATGGAAGTGGTGGATGGATATGCCAAATGATAAATGTGCTTTTAGACATTTCTCATTTAGTTATTGTGTCAAAAGTGACATGATGTTCCTGTTTTCATGTCTGCAGGCAGCCGAGAAACGGCGTTCACTTATGCCATCAGCGCAGCAGGGGTGGTGAACGCGGTGAGCCGTGCCTGCAGAGAGGGGGAACTCTCCAGCTGTGGGTGCAGTCGTGCGGCTCGCCCCAAAGACCTGCCACGAGACTGGCTATGGGGCGGCTGCGGAGACAACCTCAACTACGGCTACAGGTTCTCCAAGGAGTTTGTGGACGCACGCGAGAGGGAAAAGAGCTACCCCAAAGGCTCATATGAGAGCGCCCGGCTGTTAATGAATCTTCACAATAACGAAGCTGGAAGGAGGGTAAGACACACATGGACACACACACATGCATGTACGAACACACACACACACACACACACACACAGACACAGACACACACACAGGAGTTGGAAGTGAGACAATCCAGGTCAATCAGATCAGGTCTCCGCTGATCATCTGTATAACAGCTCTGTCAGCTCTCCCCTCCTGAGGCTTTGATCTGTGGGGAGATGGAGTCATTGGAGGCAGCTCTGGGGTTTCTTTTCCTTTCCAAACATCTTGAAACCACCTCAAAGGAAACGTAATGCCAGATATCTGTTGCCAGGCTGTTTTCTTTCAAGTAGGACAAATGAGTGGACAACATTTTATTTAATGCACTATTGGAGACATGGACAGGATCATTTGGTCCTTTGTTGCAAAGTTATGCCTTATGAGATCATGAGTAGGACATTGTGCAAATATTTATGCAGACGGGTCGAATTAGAAATATGAAGCATGTGTCACTTTGGCATTTTCTGTCATTTGCCACATTAGAATAAATGTTTTTGTAAGTTCTTTATCTAGTTATATCTTTTCTCTCCAATTCTCAGACGGTGTCAGACCTTGCCCACGTGTCCTGCAAGTGCCACGGGGTGTCAGGCTCCTGCAGTCTGAAGACTTGCTGGCTGCAGCTGGCTGACTTCCGCAAGGTGGGCGATGCACTGAAGGAAAAGTACGACAGCGCAGCTGCCATGAAGCTCAACACACGTGGGAAGATGGTGCAGATGCACAGCAAGTTCAACGCTCCCACAAGCCATGACCTGGTGTACATTGAGTCCAGTCCAGACTACTGCCTGAAGAACCAAAGCACAGGCTCCCTGGGCACAGTGGGGCGCCTTTGCAACAAGACCTCAGAGGGCATGGATGGGTGTGAGCTGATGTGCTGCGGCCGCGGTTACGACCAGTACAAGGCCCAGATAGTGGAGCGCTGCCACTGCAAGTTCCACTGGTGCTGCTACGTCAAGTGCAAGCGCTGCACCAAAATCGTAGACCAATTCGTCTGCAAGTGAGAAGAGGAGTGTTGCCTGTGTGTGTTTGCTTGCAGGCGATGGGCATACATCTGTGTGTATTCAGGAGCAGAGGAGCAAAGGAGTTGAACACAGAGAGAGAATGGAAGAAAGAAACTATATAAATTATATTTATAGAGTTAAACAATTATGCCATTGCAAAAAGACTGACTCTTTTTTTTTTTTTTTTTTTTTTTTCAAAAAAAAATCTTATGTCTTCAGAAACTGAGAGTATCGTGAAATATTTATTTTGAGATTGTTATGTTTTATTTTGGCCCAGTCATCACCGGCCGATTTTAACCCCTGCAAGTGCCTAAAACTGGCTGGAAATCTCCCCCTACCCCCACCACCACCTAACCCTTTTTTAAATTTCAGAATATAAAATATTTCTTGTCAGATGGGTCCCACTGTTTGCAAAATTGGACTGTGCTTCCCATTTCCAAACAAGAGAGTTGTGGCATAGTTGACTAAGAGGTCCTGGTCTGTTGTTTAAGAATGACTGTGTTGAGAGGAGAACGCCTGTGTGCTGTAGTGTGTGGATGTGTTTTCATGGGCCCAGTCCCAAACCAGCCTTCACATCCTTACCGAAGTCTACTCGTCCCCTCTCACCACATGTAGAGTAAGGAACACTGTTGGTTCATACGAGTCCTACGAGGAGTACAATGGGTACAATAAGAGGGCTGTTTTGGGGATTGGGCCATTTATTAAGCTGTTCCCCAGGTGCTGCAACAAGCCCTCCACCATTATGCACTTTGATACAGACGCTTAAACCTGTCTGTATGTGTCTGTTCAGCTGTTTTTTACTACAGTGCATCAGCAGATATATCAATATTATAGCCTACTTTTCCATATTAATTCAGATTATCCATTTAACATTATTCTACAATACTTAACATGGTTTGAATATATATGGGCAATGTTGTGGTTACAGTGGTGAAATATTCCATGCTCTGTGTATATAGTATGTCTATCCAACCAATCAGTAAACTGTATTTATTTTCTTTAACCAGATCATCCTTTTAAGCTTAAAACAAAAAAGCATCATCTCCATAGATCAATATTAAACCGGACATCCCCAAGTTTTGAAGTCACTTTTTAAAATGTTGTTCTCACTAATGCGGCTCTTCACTGTTTTTGTAAAGGGAAATGCACCTTATTGTTTCAAATCACAGATTCTTTCTTCTCACTCATGTTCAGCTTTACTGTTACACACAAATATATATATATATATCACATATGTTCAGATTTGATCATTGCCACAGATTTCCAGTACCACTCAGATAACTGCTCAATATCCCTGTGATGATTTTCAATAGACAAACTATTTCTACCAATCCAACCATGTATATTTATAAGCTTCTCCATGAATTTGAGGTTTGTTAAACATAATGTGTTATAGCTGATATTTTGTTACTTTTTACAAATTGGCTCAATGCTCTACTTTGTTTCAATAAATATCAAATGTAAAACCAGCAGAGAAGTATTTACTCATAGTATTCATTATTATTCAAGTGTCATACCTTTCAAAGTTTTGTTTGTCAGTGCCTTTGACTCAAGTTATTTTAAAATCTCCTGACATAAACCTTTCCCTTCCTATGTATACATTACTATATACGTTTATCTTTAATATTAGATTAGATATAAGATTGACTGATTCACCACAATAAGATAACTTCTTTTTTTTTACTCAAAGCATTTTAGGGTTTTTCTGAACCAGTTTACATTTCTTCATTCAGTCTCCTCACCCGTGGGCAGATTTAGTGACAGTCAAACTCACATTGTATGACAGCTGTTTTAGGCGTGTAGTGAACAAAGACAAGGAGAGTTTTCTTGAGAGCTTTGGAAGATGGCCTGAAGATTGGGTGTCTCTCAAGAGGGTGGTTGAGGTTGTACAGTATTATAAGCGCCCCCTGAACAATCCAATGATGGTGGATCAGTTAATGGAATGATTAATCATATTGTGTCAGGAGAATAAGAAGAGGGGGATTTTTAGTGTGGGGGAATGGGGCTGTCTGGAAGACGACTGGGCCTTGTCAAAGACTGCTGGAGCTCAAGAGGAGATGCAGAGAACAGGAGAGAAGATTGGGTAATGAGAGACGGGGGATTACATGAGGGCTGGATGAGAGGGAAATAATAAGGAGAGGGGTTGTGAGAGGAGAGGCCCGAGGGAAAGCAGCAGAGAGAAAGTGCTTTAAGGAAAGTAGAGCTGAAGGACTGCCATTACAGTGTAAATGGTTCTGACATTGACTAATATTTACATTGGTAAAATGATACTGACTTTAGGAGCACATCCCATATGTGACCCTGTCAATTGGCCCTGTGTGTATGCGTCTGTGCACTTGCATGTGCACCCACTTGCACAAAATGTGTTATATCATGACAAGTGTTTACATTTCTGATTGGTGTCACGTAGGCCAATAAGGAAAAGTGGGAGAGAAAGATACAAGGTTCGCAAATAGGGAGAGTGTAAAAAGTTAAAAAAGTCTCAAAGGAGACCAAGGCCAGCAAGAGCTTTTTACATATTTGAACCTTCTGTCAGCAGCAGGGTTTATTGGGATATTTGATGACCCCTCAACTCTGGATTTCTTATGAAGGTGAGAAACTACTTGCATGTGCTGGATGAGCCTCCTTAGATGTGAGTGACTGACTTCATACCAGCAGGACTCCTCCAGTAGCATAAACAGAAATCCAGGTGCACAGCAGGCTGATACAGCAGGCGAGGAAACCTGAAACCCACAGGTGCACAGGTATGACTTACCTGACACACTCAGTCAGAGGAAGGGGCACGGATACTTGTAAATGTTCAAACAAAATACTTGGGAAGTCTGATCTTGGCAGGCCTTTCTCCGCCTGCCTCTTTCCCTGCTCCCACCTACAGTTTGACACATAGTGCGGGCAACTGTGTAAATATTTATACGCCTGTTCTGCAGAGAACAACACCGTCTTTTTTTGGATGTGGTCACAAGGTGATAAGGTGATTTGGATTTTGCACACACAATTAAGCATTCACCGCAAGAACACTTTGTAGCTCCATAAGTGCACGCACACTTAGAGAAGGAGGTGCTCGGCAGATATTTTAAGCTGGTGTAAACCTCTGCTAACTCTTTGTCATCCGCTCTTCACAGTTTATCTGAGAAAACAGCAACCTGTCTAAATGAGCATTCCTCCATCTATCTGACTTTGCTCTCATATAGTTGTCCTTTTAGAATAAATAGAAACAAATGTTTACAGAAATGTTTTTTTCCCCAAAAGGAACATGGTTTCAAAATGTTTAAATATGCAAATAACCCGAGCATTTATTGCATGTTAAATGCTTGGTTGCATCTGTGTGCGTGCATGTGTGTTTTTGTATTCATGCAAAGGTGATAATTATGATGATGAATGGAGCAGGCTGGATAAAAACTGAGGTTCACCCGGCTTATCAAGTGGTTTTACTCTATTCTTCTTCCCCTGCATTAAAATTCCTCAGAGGTTCTTCAGGACGATTACGTGACAAGTTGTGTTTTCCTAAAACAAAGCAGCTGGTTGATATAAGGCAACCTCCCTCTGCTGAAGCCAGATATGCTGACCACAGCTCTGTAGATTCATAAATATTTTGTTGATTCTTTTCTAGCAGTGGAAAAGGCTGAACTAATGTTCTTCTGTAACTGCAATATACCAGGATACACAGATTGATGTAATACATTTACACCACACTCTACCATCTGTGAAACAAAACCTCAGCTTGAACTCTGGCCTATCCCTTTTTTTTCTTACCACGCTACATCATGGTTGGATGAATTCTGGCACAGATGCCAGTAGACTCCACCTTGAGCACCGTAAAACTTTCACAATAGAAAAACAATTCCATAAAAACACAAACTCTCTATTGATCAGTGCTGGCCAGCTTTGTGCTTTAAAGCCTCAGAAAAGAGAATACATGAGCTGTCAGTGCAACAGCTCTGGCAAAGCTCATCTCTTCAAGCCAAAGTCGAACTTGTTCCATTCCCCGGCTCTTACTGTAAAACTCTCATAAAGCGTCAACAGGGCCAAAATAAGAGCGCTCCGCAGAGCTGCATTTAGAGCTATTTGGGATTGTGGTTGTGTGTTTTAGAGAAAGAGGGCAGGACACCACACCGTGACGTCGCAAACAGTCTGGACTGGATCAGAGAGACGGGTCGGTGCCACAGAGTTACCGGCTCCCCCTTCTCTCCCTGCCAGTTCTATCCCAGTGTCCCCCCAGAAACCACTTGCACCGCAAGTTGTTTCAATGGGGCACAACTCTGGCTGAAAATAGAAAGGTTATACATATAGGTCACAATTTCTCAATGTGCATGACTGAGGCTTTTGTGTGTGTATGCATGTATGTGTGTGTCTGTGTGTTAGAAAAGAGAGAGAGAGAGAGAGAGAGAGAAAGTGAGAGAAAAATAACTACTAAGAGAAATCAAGGATCGGTTCAATTACTGTTTTCATCCTCACGTTTAATTCAGAAGTGAGTTCTTATACAGGCTTGAACTGGCTTTAGACATCTATTAGAGCTTTTAGTACGTAATACAGTTGAAAATAAGAAGAATAGAGGATATAACTACAATGGAAAATGTAAACACAGGAAAATAGCTTGTGTTGGTGTGCACTGCAGCTCTTTATTGCTTACAGATGTACAAAACATATTCACCTTCATAGGACAGTAAAGGATAAGAATTTGTTATTCTGTCTTAAACAGCATACAGAATGACTATCTTGCCAAGTTTTTCTTCATTTTAATAAATTTTCGCTTTAATCGATTTTACAGAACTTTCATGAAAAAGGTAAACATTGACTGTGGAGCATTCCAGTCTGACATTTGATCTTCCATTCTTATATACCCTGATGCTCTGTGTCTCTGTCATCTCATTGCTCTGCTCTCACACAACTCTATTGTTAAGTTAGTGTAGGTTACATGCACGCTCACTGTCATCACATCTTTGCGTTATGGCTTCCTCTCAGACTGCGTACAATATATTACACAATGAGACATGTTTACAAGACCAGAACAAACGTACTTGTTTGTGGTTTGTCATGGGATCTTCTCTTTCTTTTCTCTGGTGGTGGTGATGTGTATATGTGTGTGTGTATGTGTGTGTAGCCCTGCCCCACAGGGAGCTGAGTGCCAGGTCAGAGCCAGTAGCTGAGTGATTCTGTCAGCCTGCTAAGCCTTGGTGGATTACACTAAAGTGGGCCCCTGGGGTTGCTCCGACATCAGTGCAGCTCAGCCCAGTTATGGTTAAACTATCATACGGCAGTTATTGGGCTTCCTTTTCCATCCTCATCCTCAGTGTCTACCACTAACTTCACATCTACATCTGCCATGACCCTCCCCAATATTTACAAGAGATAGTTGAATGCAATGTAAAAAGCTGTACTATTCAACATGACAAACAGTAAAAATGTAGTTGAAAGAGATAATACCTATAAAAAAGAGACTCCAGATGCTGGAACACTGGTAGAAACTGGTATAGCAGAGAAGTAGAGGAAATTCTATTTCTTGCAACTTCCTGGGATGTTTACAGTGCAGAGCTTATCTATATGATCCTTTAAAGCTACAATAAATGCTTTTCTTTGGTCATCTGTGTTTCCACCGCCTCGTTTCATTGATTTCAAGGGGGATCCAATCAAATCCGACCCGGTGGCAGGCTTTAATAATAACTATACAGAAATAGTCATCTCGCTGATGGTCTTGTCTCTTTATGAAGGTCATATAGCAGCATCAATCATAAATTGAGATGGTTTCATAACCAGTTAAAGCTCAAACACTAGCTTGACAATCTGTATGTGATATGTTTTTTTCTTCTTCTGAGCTTAGGTACTTTCGATACCATTGAATGGTGCCCCATGTAACAAGGCTGAGTCCTTACTGCAGTGGCCATGGGTTTGACTCCGACCTGTGGCCCTTTGCTGCATGTCATTCCCTCTCTCTCTCCCCCTTACCTGGTAAACAATGAGCTGACACTTGCTATAAAGCTCCATAAAGCTGAGGGGAGCTGTGATAATTCTAGGTTCATCACTATGAGTGACCCCTTTCACACTGTTACACATTGTTGTGTTGTTTTTACATTATCATTTGATTGTAAAATTATAGCCACTTTAAATAAATCATGTCAAAGCCACCTCAAAATTTTAATCCACTAATATCACACAGTAGGAAAATTGTGAATAAACATATTCATTTCTTCATTTTTACCTTATATGATCCATGGCCTTGCAGAGGAAGAATTTGTTCCCCTGAATGGAAAGCTAGTAGGAACACCTGCCTTTATTTTAAGAAAGACAACAACTCGGGCAGATGACAAAACTGTATCCACTATGTCATACGTTACAATGAGCTGAATACACTCACTTTCACAACACTGAGGAGTGAAAATGGGAAAAAACGCAGGGAGGAAACGGCAGAGGAAGCAGACAGACAGTGACTGATGCGCTCCAGGTCTCTAAGATGAAGTCATTTGCTTTAATG